ATATTCAAAAAGTCTGCTGTATGAGTGATTGGTATTATTAATAGAATTATTAATAGTGGTATTTATTTAGTGCCAGCTATGTAGATAGTACCAGTGCCAAATACTGCAGCTTAAAAAAAAAAAAAGACAGAACTGCCCTGGAGAAGCACAATTTTTCCATCAAGTTTATGGAGATATGGGTTTGTATATCCCTAGGCTGGCTTGTTTACAAAATAGCTGTGACAAAAACAAACAAAACAACCCAACCCACACGTGCACTCTGCGTCAGCTCTGGGGTGCGTCCAGGGAAGACAGCAAAACTCCTTTCTATTGACGTTTCAGAGAGTGACATCAAGACCACCTACAAAGGACCGACAAACGGGCTTGGGTGGGGAGGACCCAACGGGGACTGTTCAGACCATGACAGCACCTGGCTCTTCCTCCTCCCCACCAAAGTTGGGGGGCCGCCTTCTGCCCGCCAAAGATCCCCAGCTTGACATGTCCTCTCTTTTGCCTTTTTTTTTTTTTTAAAGAAAACTCCCTTTTGCATAAGTCCAGATTTCTGAGCCGTGAACTCAGAATCACAAGAGCTGGGGCTGCGACTCCGGGATTTCACTTTGCCCTTTCTGTGCGTCCGTTACCCTCTTTTAAAACTAGAGCAATCGTTCAGCCTTGGGGCCGGAACGTGCCCGGCCAGTCAGACCTGAAGCCCAGTCTGGCGTCTATCAGAAGCCTGGTCAATTCTGTACGCGCTGTCGTAGGCTGCGACCCGCGCTCCCGGGGGCGGGCGCCCCGTCGTCTCCCTCCAAGGTATGTGGAAGCGACGTCCCCTCCCTCTCGCCCTAGGGAGATCCCGGAACTACAGGCTCGGACTCTGACCCTGGAGGGGACACAGGTGAGGCCAACAGACCGGCCGTTCCGAGGTGGGCTCTCGGGAAGGGATGGAGAAGCTGGCCAAGCGGGAGTCCACTCCCCGAGGCCAGGACCGCGGCTGCTCAGGACCGGGGCCTGGGAGGAGAAAGCCCGTGCACCCCTCGGAGTCCGTCCTACACATCCGCGATCCACACCCCGCCCCCAAATCGAGCCCGGGCCGGCCCCTGGCCATCCTCCGCCAAACCGCTGCTTACCGCCGCGCTCATCCGGGGGCCGAACTGGCCATCGACGCCCGCCTGGAACCCAGCGTAAGCAAAGGAAGAGATAACGGCTGCACTTCCGGAAATAACCTAGGCCTGACTGCGGAGGAGAGTGCCCCCGGCCCGCGACCATAGAGGAGAGGCTGCGCTCGTTCCCTAACCCCCTCGACCCCGCGCCCTCCCCGCTGCCTAGAGAGGCCACTCTTGGGCCGGGGAGGTCCGCGCAGGCGTACTACCGCCGGTCCCTCCCCTTACTCTTGGACGCACAGACCTTGAGCCAGGGCTTTACACTGAGAAGGTGAGGCTGTTGTGTCTATTTGATCCTCCAGAGTGGCTGTTATTGTATCTGCAGGAAACAGCTTTGCCCGGAAATTAAAATTATATTACAAGACCGTACTGTACTCGCCACAATTTTTTTTTGCCTTTACATTTTATGCAGAAAATCAGAGAACCATGGCTAGATTTCCATTTGCAGTATTAAGAAGAATCGGAATTAACATGACTTTCTTATCACCACGTTTTTGGTTTTTTTTGTTTTTTTCCCAGCGTCTTGGTTCGTTAAGAATTCATGAGGATTACCTGTTTTAAATCACTGGCCTGGAGATTGTTAAATCGATAATTTGGGATGATTTTTTTTCCCTAGCAATCAAATGGGCAAAGAGTAAAAAGATTGGTAATGTTCTGTGCTAGTGCCAGGAGTGTATGACTCATTTTCTGGAGGATAGTCTAGCAATAGGTATCAGCATATTTTAAAAAAATTGCCGTGAAAGATACGTAACAAAATTTACCATTTTAACCATTTTCAAGTGTGCAGTTCAGTGGCACTAACTGTATCCACATTGTGCAGTCATCACCACCATCCAGGACTTTATCATCTTCCCAAACTGAAAGTCCATACCCATTCAACAGTTACCAATAGTTCCTTCCCCAGCCTCTGGTAACCACCATTCTACTTTCTGTTAAAGAATTTGACTACTCGGGGCTTCCCTGGTGGCGCTAGTGGTTGAGAGTCCGCCTGCCGATGCAGGGGACACGGGTTCGTGCCCCAGTCCGGGAAGATCCCACACGCCGCGGAGCGGCTGGGCCCGTGAGCCATGGCCGCTGAGCCTGCGCGTCCGGAGCCTGTGCTTCGCAACGGGAGAGGCCGCAACAGTGAGAGGCCCGTGTACCGCAGAAAAAAAAAAAAAAAAAAGAATTTGACTACTCTAGGTACCACATATAAGTGGAATCATATAGTGTTTGTCTTGTTGTGACTGGCTTATTTCAGTTAGCAAATGTCCTCCAGGTTCATCTACTTTGTAGCATGTGTCAGAATTTCCCTCCATTTAAAGGCAGAATAAAATTCCATTGTTGGTATACGTGACATTTTGTTTATCCATTCATCTGATGATAGATGCTTGGGTTGTTTCCACTTTTTGGCTATTGTGAATTATGCTGCTATGAACATGGGTGTACAAATACCTATTCAAACCTCTCCTTTCAATTATTTTGGGTGTATGCCCAGAAGTGGAATTGCTGCATTATATTATAATACTATTTTTAATTTTTAAAAAAGGACCATACTGTTTTCGATAGTGACTGTACCATTTTACATTCCCACTAGCAGTGCACAAAGTTCCAATTTCTTACCTAATAGGTATGAAATGATATCTCATTGTGGTTTGGATTTGCATTTGTGATGTTGAGCGTCTTTTCATTAGCTTGTTGGCCATTTATATCTTCTTTGGAGAAATGTTTAAGTCCTTTTTAAATTGGATTGTTTGTTTTTGTGTTTTTGAGTGGTAGGAGTTCTTTATATATTATGGATATTTACGCTTTATCAGATATATGATTTGCAAGTTTTTTTCCCCATTCTGTGGGTTGCCTCTTCACCTTCCTGATAGTGTCCTTTGATGCACAGAAGTTTTTAATTTTGATGTAATTCATTCATCACTTTTTCTTTTGTTGCCTATGCTTTTGGTGTCATAGCAAAAAATCATTGCCTAATCCAACATCATGAAGCTTTTTTGCCCTATGTTTTCTTCTAAAACCCTTATAGTTTTGGCTCTTACATTTAGATGTTTGATTTATTTTGAATTAATTTTTATACTGTGTTAGGTAAGGTTCTAACTTCATTCTTTTGCATGTGGATATTCAGTTTTCTTAACACCATTTGTTGAAAAGAGTATCCTTCCCTCACTGAATGGTCTTGGCATCCTTGTTGCAAATCATTTGACCATTTATTCAAGGGATTATTTGGGGGCTCTCTATTTCATTAGTCTCTATGTCTTTATGTCAGTACCACACTGTTTTGATTACTGTAGCTTTGCAGTAAGTTGATATTTATTGAACTTAAATTACTTAAAATTTAAATTTAAGTGGCCATATGTGACCAGTACTTTCCATCTAGGACTTTTAAAGCTGATACTAGAAGGCAGAAAGATATTTCAAGTTTGAAGTTTGACTACTTGTCATATTGGTTTTCACATTTACTCTCTGCTGCTCACACTAGGAATAGAGGGCCTAATTAACTATATATAAATTTCCTTTCAATGAGTAGAGGAAAATGGACCTGTGGCACCTGGTGGGGAAAATATGGTCACACTCTTACTTGTTCTTTAGGGTTCTTAATATTTTCTTTTGGGAGAAAATGCTTATCTTCTTTTCAAAAAGCACAAGTGGTTCATACTCAGTATTTCTCTCAAACCTAAGGTGTGAATGCTGGGAAATGTGACAGCAGGTCAGAACACTGATCATATCTTACATTTATTCTTACAGTGCTTTACAATTCACATACATTATCACCACTGATCCTCAACCCTATTTAGTGGATGAGAAAATCGAGGTTTAGGAAGATTGAATAATTCCAGACCTAATAAATGGCAGAGTTAGCCTTTGAAAGCAGATCTTCTAACCAACTTTCATAGTAGGCTTTCGTGAAAGACCAAGGTGAATTCATTCACTCAACCCACGTTTATCGAGCATCTCGACGTGTCAGCAGTGTCGTAGGCTCTGGGAATCAACTGCAAACCACAAACCAACGTAAAACTCCATCAGGCAAGACCTAATCTGTTTTGCCCACCGTAGTACTCCCAGTAGCTAGTGCAGTAGATAAAGGTCTCAGGTTTGCGTTCCCCGTCACCTCTGTAAGTAACTCTCTTTTCCATTATTCTTATTGCAGCACCCTGCTCTTTCTTTTCACAGCGAACTTTGGGTTTCCAAGTGGCAAGTTCGATTCCTGCCTGACTTTCCCCTCTTCCCTCAAGTTAAGCTCCAGTGGGAGCTTGTCTTTTTTATTCCTCACTGTATCCCCACTCCTTTCAGGGTGCCCGGCACATAACTGGAACTCAAGAAATACATATTCATCAACTGGATGGATGTCATGTCACGCAAACTTCTGAAGTAAATGGCCCGGGCTTCCCTGGTGGTGTAGTGGTTAAGAATCCACCTGCCAATGCAGGGGACACGGGTTCGAGCCCTGATCTGGGAAGATCCCACACGCCGCGAAGCAACTACGCCTGTGCGTCACAACTACTGAGCCTGTGCTCTAGAGCACGCGTGCCACAACTACTAAGCCCATGTGCCACAACGACTGAAGCCCACGTGCCTAGAGCCCATGCTCCGCAACAAGAGAAGCCACCGCAATGAGAAGCTCGCGCACCGCAACAGAGTAGCCCCCGCTCCCGCAACTGGAAAAAGCCGGCATGCAGCAACGAAAACCTAATGCAGCCAAAAATAAATAAATAAAGTAAATTGTCCAAGTCTGGTCCTCACCAGTTAGACCACGCCTTGAAGGACTTTGATAGCCACGCCCCTCCTGTGTCCCGGGAAAGGAACCCAGCCTTGGCCCCGCCCCTGCCATGACGCAGGCACACGTGACGGCGCGCCGGCGCGCGCTGTTTCCGGAAGTCACCCCCGCGGTCTCCGCCGCCGCTGCTGCCTGCGCTGCTGGCGGTGGAACTTCGCGAGTGGAACGGCAGAGGCGGGCCGGACGGGGCCGCGGGCCTGGCCACTCTGCAAAATGGAGATAATCAGGAGCAGTGCGTGTCCGCCGTGCACCTCCCCGCGTACCCGCGGCCCCCTTCACCCGGCCTGCTAGGCCCGGAACACGGCCGGTCTGCTTGGCGGGGCCTGGGGCAGAGGCAGCCCCTCAGGGGTTTGCTCCCATTTTGCGCCTCTTGGGGGGCCTTATTCCTCTCTGGCCCATACACCCTTGGGGGCCTTGTCGTCTTTCTTACCCGGGCACCCCCAGGGCCTTATCCCTCTCAGGCTCGTGTCCCCGCGGGGCTTATTTTCCGCCCCTGTCTGTGCACCCCTCAGGGACCTGTCCTTCCGCCCTAGGAGACGTAGGAGTTCCCCGGGCCCTCCTTCCTTCCCAACCTAGTAGCCCGTGGGCAAGCAGCTAGGCCACCGGTTCTGAGCCTCTTCTCGGTTTCTCCACAGATTTTAAGAGTAATCTCCACAAAGTGTACCAAGCCATAGAGGAGGCGGACTTCTTCGCCATCGATGGGGAGTTTTCAGGTATCCCTCGCTTGCAAGCTTGAGGCTGGCACCTTGCAGTGCATAGCCAAAACTCCTGCACCCCTACCCCCTGCTCCCTTGCCCCGGACTTCTGCCTGCTGGCCGCTCCTCCCTGTTTGTAGCCTTGGGCAAGTTGCATGGGTCTCCACGTTTCCTCTTAAACGTTTCGAAAGCACGGAAGAGGTGAGGTGCGGTGGGTTTTGTGATTGGGTTTGTGGTTGTTAGACCTCTCAGGGTTGCAGATAGAAATTAAGGTTTTGGTGCTGCTTAAAAACTGTTGGATGTGTGTGAGACAGCTTGGGAGTTCGAGTCAGGCTTTTTTGTACGTGTGGTGAAATACACATAACATAAAATTGATCGTTTTAAAGTTCAGTGGCATTGAATACATTCACATTGTTGTGTATCCATCTCCAACCATCCATCTCCAGAACTTTTTCATCTTCAGAACTGAAACACTCTACCCATTGAACAATAATTCCCAACTCCTCTCTCCCCTCTGCCTCTGGCAACCACTGTTTCTGTCTCTGAATTTGACTAGTTTAGACATTTCCTATAAGTGGAATCATACAATATTTGTCCTTTGTGACGGACTTTAGGGTCGGACTTTTGCAGATAAATGAGGGTATTCCTCTAGGCATTAGTGGAAGTGTTCATTGCCTGCCTTGGCATGGGTGTGCATGTGTGTCTAATACTTTACTAACAGTTATAACTGCAAGATTTTTTCTTTTTCTCCTTTTGGATCAAAGATATCCACTTTTGGTATAGATAACACTTTTGCTACAAGCTTAACATGTTTGTAAGACTTCACCTCTTTCTAAAGGACTCCGTGCTGCGGGTAATCTTTGGCTTTAATTAAGTGTGCAGTTTCTAGTTGGAGTCAGTTCCCTGGAAAGCTAAGAGTTTTCACCGCAAATAATTGTCTCTTGACCTTGAGTATACCTTTGTTGTGTAGATGTTACTCCAAACTGTTGACCAAGACTGTACTCTAACAATAATTCGCATCAGTATTTGTTGATGTCTGAGTATGCATTAATCTTTGAAAGCAGCAAAACTTACTCAGCCATAGAGATTGTTTCCTTAAATCATGACTGTTTTGAAACCTAATTTTTTTTTTACTGAATTATAATTGACCAATTATATCAGTTTCAGGTGTACAACATAGTGATTTGATATTTTTATACACTATGAAATCACCATGCTAAGTCTAGTTACCATCTGTTAGCTACAAAGTTATTGTTGGCTCTATTCCCTATGCTGTGACATTTATTTTATAACTGAAACTTTGTATCTCTTAAACCCCTTCACCTATTTGGCCTTTCCACCCACCCCCTCCCCTCTGGCAACCATTAGTTTACTCCCTGTATGAATGTCTTTGTTTTGTTTTGTTTGTTTGTTTTGTTTTTTGGATTTCACCAATAAGTGAAATCATATGGTATTTGTCTTTCTCTTTCTGACTTATTTCACTTAGCATAATACCTTCTAGGTCTATCCATGTTGCAGATGGCAAGGTTTTATTTTTTATGGCTGAGTAATATTTCTATATATGTATGTGTATATATATGTATGTATGTATGTGTGTGTATATATATATGTGTGTGTGTATATATGGCATCTTCATTATCCATTCATCTATCTTTGGACAATTAGGTTGCTTCTATGTCTTTTCTATTGTAAATAATGATGTAAATAATGATGTAGTGACATAGGGATGCATATATCTTTTCGAATTAGAATTATTGAAGAAAAAATAATTTTTGTTTTCGTATAAATATCCATAAGTGGAATTGTTGGCTCATATGTTAGTTCTATTTTTAGTATTTTGAGGAAGCTTTATACTGTTTTCTATAGTGGCTGCACCAGTTGACCTTCCCACCAACAGTACATGATGGTTCCCTTTTCTCCACAACCTTGCCAACACTTGTTATTTCTTGTGTTTTTGAGAATAACCATTCTGACAGGCGTGAGGTGGCATCTCAAGATTGCTTTGGCTGTTCGGGGTATTTTGTGGTTCCATACAAATTTTAGGATTATTTGTTCTAGTTCTGTGACAAATGCCATGGGTATTTTGATAGAGATTGCTTTGAATCTGTAGATTGCTTTGGCTAATATGGACATTTTTACAGTATTAATTCTTTGGATTCGTGAGCACAGTCTTTCCATTTATTCCCATTGTCTTCAATTTCTTGCACCAATGTCTTATAGTTCTCAGAGTACAGGTGTTTCACCTTCTTGGTTAAATTTATTCCTAGGTATTTTATTCTTTTTGATGCAATTGTAAATGGGATTGTTTTCTTAATTTCTGTTTTTCATAGTTTGTTATTAGTGTATAGAAATTTACAACAGATTTCTGTATATTAATTTTGTATCCTGCAACTTTACTGACTTCCTTTATTAATTCTAATAGTTTTTTGGTGAGGTCTCTATAGTGTTTTCTATATTTGAAATCTATTTTAGACACTGAAACTGCCCATTCTCAAATTGAAACATTCACATCTCTAAATTCATTACTATAGAGTTTAGCTTGGTAGCCAGTGAAATTAATGCTAATTTTGAGAAAGTGAAGAAAGGAGCACTTCCAATTAATTTTAATTCATGAAAATATGAAATTATAGCACCATTGAATAGTTGACTGACATTTTTCCATTAGCATTTATTAACAAGTTAAAAACTTTTATTTCGGGCTTCCCTGGTGGCGCAGTGGTTGGGAGTCCGCCTGCCGATGCAGGGGTTCGTGCCCCGGTCCGGGAGGATCCCACGTGCCGCGGAGCGGCTGGGCCCGTGAGCCATGGCCGCTGAGCCTGCGCGTCCGGAGCCTGTGCTCCGCGGCGGGAGAGGCCGCAGCGGTGAGAGGCCCGCGTACCGCAAAAAAAAAAAAAACAAACTTTTATTTCTTAAAATCTAGGAATCAGCGATGGACCCTCGGTCACCGCATTAACAAATGGTTTTGACACTCCGGAAGAAAGGTATCAGAAGCTTAAAAAGGTACGTGGATGTGCTAGAAAAAAATTTTTTTTCCCATGTTGGTCCTGCATATGTTGAATTATAGAGGAATATAATCGTTAAACTTGTTCATTAATGTCTCAACCCCAGCTACAAAATGATATTTTAGTGGTATTTAAAACAACAGCAAAAATAATTGTTTGCTGGAAAACATTTTGGGGAAGGTTTAGTATTTTCAGTGTTAATTTGATTTACAGGAAATGTGATGTGGTTATTTTAATCATTTGGAAATAGGTTTACCATGACACTCTGGATGGTGGATAGGTGCCTAAGTTGGGAAAAATATTAAGAAATGTATATAAATTAATAATGCATCTGATACCTACTAGAGAATGGACTTGAGGATATGGGGAGGGGGAAGGATAATCTGTGACAAAGTGAGAGAGTGGCATGGACATATACACACTACCAAACATAAAATAGATAGCTAGTGGGAAGCAGCCACATAGCACCAGGAGATCAGCTCGGTGCTTTGTGACCACCTAGAGGGGTGGGATAGGGAGGGTGGGAGGGAGGGAGACGCAAGAAGGTAGAGATATGGGAACATATGTATATGTATAACTGATTCACTTTGTTATAAAGCAGAAACTAACACACCATTGTAAAGCAACTATACTCCAATAAAGATGTTAAAAAAAATAATGCGTCTGATAGATAATCTGTAATCTGTTCTAATTGGAACAAAGTTAAGTAATCAGAAAACCCACCTGATTGAGAATACTGTTGCTGACGTCGACTGTAGAGCACTGTTTTGACAGATATTTTATTTCCCTTTTCCAGCATTCCATGGACTTTTTGCTGTTTCAGTTTGGCCTTTGCACTTTTAAGTATGACTACACAGATTCAAAGTAGGTTGTTTTAATGAGTGGTGGGAATTCTTTTGTCATGGCGTAATGTAACGCCCTAAGTCTCCTTTTATCTTATTTTCCCCAGGTATATAACAAAGTCTTTTAACTTCTATGTTTTCCCGAAACCCTTCAATAGATCTTCACCGGATGTCAAATTTGTTTGTCAGGTTAGTAGTATAATTGAGTTGTTTTTCTGTTATGAATTGCTGATGAGGCAGTGTGGAAATGTGGAATCAGAATTCTCTCTAAAATTTGGTTCTACTACTAACTTTGCACTTTGGGCAAATCATTTCACCTCTCTGACTTTCAGTTTTAGGGTTGTAAATTAATGACACTCCCATCTTCCCTTTTACTTGAGAATGAGTTAAGGAATGAGATGTAAGTGACAGGCAGATGGAAATGAGAACGTGAGCTTTATCATTAGTAAAGCTGAATCTGAGACCATGGCTTCGTAGTGTGACTCTTTTGGGGATTTTTAATGTCTTACCCCTGAATTGAACCTACAGATCAGGACCTTCAGGCTTCTTCCCACCCCATTCTCATTGCACCCATCTCCAAGGGTAGAGCTTTATTTTCTGGAAGAGGCGGGTATGTGTGTATCCTCTTTGAAAAGAGAAAGCCCAAAAGGGGCTAAGCTATATATGTTCAGTTTCTTTTCCCAAGCTCACCAATTAGGAAAGAGAGGGTAGATAAAGACCACTGTTTCCTCCTGAGTAGGAGAGGGCTGACTTTACGAGCCAAGGTAAGGATACAAGGAGGTTCTCCTTTAGAACACCCTGTTTGGAGTTGTAGCTGATCTAGTAGACACTCAGTGAATATCAGTTTCCCCGTTCTCCCCTCTCTCTTTTTTTTTTTTTTTTTTTTTTTTTCTTTCTGCTCTCTTAATAATCTGATACAATGGATAAGGTGAATGTGAATAAGTGTATAGCGAATGGATATGTGATGAAAGCTGAATGTTGGCCTTTTCTCCCTCATGATCTTATGCTTGAGCTTCTCTCCCCGTAGCAACATTAGTTCCTTTGAGTCTTCCCATCTTTCCCTTTTCCTGCATGTAAGTAGTAATGCAGTTAAGAAAGCCTGGAGGGTAGGCTTCTGAGTGACTGAGTCATGTCAGGTTCTTTCTGTAATAAGGCAGGATATAAACAAATGAAATTGAGCATTAATTGTATATCTAGGGCTGAAGAGAAGGTAATTTTGGTTTTGTAAACCTGAATTTTTCTTAAATTAGCAAATAAACCATAGTTGATATTTCTTTACCCTGCAACCATTTAACAGCTATTTACCAGTCACCTTAGTATAGGATACTTAATTAAACAGTATTTGTAGATTTTCACTGAGAGAAAAATAGGCTCAGTTGGGAAATTTGTGTGGATGTAGTTTTCCAACAGTACCAGGAAAAGACAATTATTTAAAGTGGATTCCATGGCTTTAGCCAGGGGTTAATCAAACATGCAGACAGTGGCAATGAGATACCTTGGGGATGATGCTTTGTTCTAAAACACCAACACAAACACAGTTATTCTAGGAAATGAATTGGAAACAGATCAAAAGAACCCTACCCATTGTACAAAGCCATTCTGGGGCTACACCTGGAACACTTTAGGTAGTTATAGTAGCCAGCCACTCCTTAAAACAAAGAAAGACATCACAGACTTGAAGACAGGCCAGAGAGTAAAGTCTAAAATGGACAATGGGATAAAAATGGTACAATTCTCGGGTTTCCCTGGTGGCGCAGTGGTTGAGAGTCCGCCTGCCGATGCAGGGGACGTGGGTTCGTGCCCCGGTCCGGGAAGATCCCACATGCCGCGGAGTGGCTGGGCCCGTGAGCCATGGCCGCTGAGCCTGCGCGTCCGGAGTCTGTGCTCCGCAACGGGAGAGGCCACAACAGTGAGAGGCCCGTGTAGCGCAAAAAAAAAAAAATAGGTGCAATTCTCTGTTCTGGAAAAGCAAAGGCAGAGAAGAGGTTTAGACTCAGTAAGTAAACTTGTGAATTGTATGGATATGGTAAATGATAGTGTCTTTGAATTTTTTTCTTTTGTCCTCCATCTAAGGTGGATTTTGTTTTAAAATTCTATGGTGACAGCAGGGTTGCATCTTACAAGGAACTTATTAGCTTCTGGAGTCAGCGACTAGGGTGAAAATTGTGTCTGGTCAAAAATCAATCTTGAAAAGCTCTTATTACCCTTAAAGCAGGGAGAGTTTGGGGGCAAAATAACTTAATATGCTCTTTGAAAAATAAGCATCTGTATACATAGTGAGCTGCTCACACTGGGCGGGATATGGGCGAGCTACCTGAGAGCCAGGCACACTCCTGGAGCACGTGCCCGTCCAGTGGGGCGACAGAAGAACTGCATGGCATTGGCATTGTCTTCACCTCCTCTTTTTCTTCTCTTCTCCTTCCTTTTTCTGACTGAACATCTATAGTTGAATTCATGGAAGAAAATACATACGTGGTCATGAAAAATCGAGACCCTGCTGCTGTCTGTAGAGTAAAGAACGAGTTTCTTTTTTTATCCCGTCTTCCCCATGCCACTTCTTTCCCCATTTCACTCCTTTTATGTCCATATGTACATATACTCTTATGTCTACATATATATACATAATTTTAGCTTTTTTTTTTAATATACACAGGATCATAATATTCATATTTTATATAACTTGTATTTTCCACTTAACACACTGTCTTCATATTTCATAGTATGGATATGTTATAATTTATTTAACTGGAGTTTAGAAGTTTTCCAGTGGTTACCTATTTAAACAATGCTATAGTCAGCATCTGTGTGCAGCATGTCTTGGTTATATGTAGGAATGTTTTTATAGATTTCCTAGAAGGGGAATTGCTGACTCATAGAGCTTATATATTTAACATTTTGATAGATGCGTCAAATTATCCTCCCAAGTAGCCATGCTCATCTTTTGAATCCTGAAAATGGTACATTTAGGACAAACCAAAGATAGTGGTTAGTAAACCACAAATAGATTTTGTTGGTTCAAAGGGTTTTTCCTTTCTTTTCTTTTCTTTTCTTTTTATACAGCAGGTTCTTATTAGTTATCTGTTTTATACAAATTAGTGTATATATGTTAATCCCAATCTCCCAATTCATCCCACACCCTCCCCCCACCAACCCCTGGCCGCTTTCCCCCCTTGGTGTCCATATGTTTGTTCTTTACGTCTGTGTCTCTATTTCTGCCTTGGAAACTGGTTTATCTGTGCCATTTTTCTAGATGGGTTTTTTTCTTTATTATGGTAAAAAATACATAACCTAAAATTTACCATTTTAAGAGGCTTTCAGTTCAGTGGCATAAAGTACATTTTTTTGTGTGCAACTTAGAGGGTATTATTTGAGTGGAAAGTAAATAGCTTCAAAAAGGGGATAGGTGAATCTCTGACTCTGGATTTTTAAAGAAGGAAGTTAGGATGTTTTGGAGTCTAGTGACAGCAGGGACAAAAATGCCTTTCCATAATCCATCTTTTGGTGCCTCTGTCAGTGATGGAATATTAGGTGGGCAGAGTTTTAAGAATACTCAGGCATGGTAGATAAAAAGGCTTGTGGCCCAAGTCAGAAGTCATTGGGTCTTGTTCAGAACAAGATAAAAAGGGAAGATGTGGGCGGGGACTGGTTGCTTATTTGAAACCACAGGAAACCTGGACATGATGGAAAATGATGTGCCTGTACCCACACGTATGTGTGTGTGTGTGTGTGTGTGTGTGTGTGTGTGTGTGTGTATTTGGTAAGTTTGCCTTTTTATATCTCATCATATTTTAAAAAGAATTTGTGTTGGGTAAAAAGTATATGTATATATATATATAAAAGTATATACAGTATATGAAACCTTTTAACATAAGATTAAAAAGATAAGTAAGTGAAAAGTTGGAAGAAAAGAAAAATGAGGATACGATTACTGTGTTATGATTAGAACACAGAATTTGTGTCAAAGAAAGTCTCACCTTTTTGTCTCTGATCTTCCTACCAGCCAAGAATAGGGGGAACACACAATCAATTCTGTGGCCCATAGGATCGAAATAGGCCAGAGCTCAGGAGGAGTTCAGCTTTCCTCAGACTAGAGACCTCAGGACATTTCCCCTTCTGTTATCATAAAGAAATCACTAATGTAGAAGACCTTGTCTTCAGTGGCATCTCTAAAGAGAGTACTGGAACTGGTACAGCGTCCCTCAGCCTAGACTGATGGTATAATGTCAGGTAGAGGTCAGGAAGGTAGTTCTATGAGGGGTCAGATTAAAATGACTTGTGTGCTGCCCTCTAATGTTCTGACTTAAAACAAGAATAAAATTAGAGAAGCTACAGTGATGTTTCCCACTCTTCAGTCAGTTGAGTAAGAACTTTGTGAAAATTTTCCCATTCTTGTGTAGTATTATTTAATTAATATTTTTACTAACATTTACTTATATATTTTGACTTACCCTAGGTTTGAGATATGTATTTAATAAGTCTCGTTACTGGGAATTTTTCTCTATTTTGATCTTGAATGTAAAGAACATCCAATTAAGAGCTTGGGACTTCCCTGGCAGTCCAATGGTTAAGACTCTGCCCTTCCAAAGCAGGAGGCGCAGGTTCAATCCCTGGTCGGGGAACTAAGATCCCACATGCCACACGGCGTGGCCAAAAAAAGAAAAAAAAGATTTGGGGCTTTCAGAATCTAAGTTGAAGTGAATAATTGATACCTTATAACTTGTACATGTTTGCTACCTTAAACCTGAACCTGGGGTGAGATAATAGAAATACATTTAATTTTTATTTATAGTCTCCTAGTCAGTACAGCCACCAGGAGTTTCCTGCCGATTGGGAGAATATATGTTCACTAAGTAAAATTTTCTTAAATGTTGTGAAACAAAGGATATTTGTTTTATAGGCTATAAAGGAGAAGAGCCCAGATAGTTTAAGTGAATTAATGGATGATTTGGCAGCCGTGGAGTAGAAATGCCTTGTCCTCTGACCTTTAGCGTGCTGCCTTCTTGCCTGGTTGCCTTTGTTTACTTGCCTGAGTTCTTTCTCTGCTTCTATTCATACACCTGCCACGAACATCACCGAAACGCATGTTCTGTTTACTCTTGTTTCAGAGCTCAAGCATTGACTTTCTAGCAAGCCAAGGATTTGATTTTAATAAAGTTTTTCGCAACGGTAAGACTATGTGTGAACTCTCTTTAGAGCTTGTAAATCTGGATTTAGTTGAGAATTCTCTTTTTGTGCCTGCTGTCCGAGACAGGATCTCAGATTCCCAGTCCATCGTGTGCAGCCATGGAGTTTTTATTGTGCCCTTTTTTTAAGGCCTGAACAGGAGAGGAGCAGCTACTTCATTTAGCTCTAATGAGGCCCCTCAAGCTCCTGGTCTCACTGAGTGGAGCTTTTCTGTCGCTGGTGTGACTTGGTTTCCTGGCAGACCACCTGGGGGGACTGCATCCCTGTTTCCTTTCAGTGGTACAAGTGCTACGATGTAGCATTTTAAAAAGCAGCCGTATTCCAGTAATACAGAGATGGTCTTTGGAGGAAGAATGTCTACATAGTCTGCACAATCCTGATGGCTAACTTGCTGGCATGATAGACTGGCAAGCGGCCTGGAGGGAGGGACTACGTCCCTTCCTTATCCCCAGAGCGGAGCACGATTCCTCTTCCATATCAGGGAGGTGACAGTTAAATATTTGATGAATGAACACCGGACGTTAGACCACACCAGAGTGGTTTTCCTTCCTCCATTCATTTGTTTCCCGAAAAGTATTGGGGAAAGCCTCTGGTTTTCTCAGCAGTATTAAGTGCCTGCTGCTCTAAGGTCAATAGGTACTTTTCACTTAATTATTCTTGTAAATTGTATTCATTCCCATGGGGAATGTATTATTGAGTGAGGTAAGAAAGGAGATTTTTCTCAGCAAAGGTTCTAGAACAAAGACTTCAGCTAAAGTCTCTTCCCCTGAGCATGATATCCTTGCAGGGCCTTTAGCACCCATGTCATGTTGTTTTTTAAATTGCTTTAGTGGTGCTGCGTCTTCATGTCTAGTGATGATTTTGATTTTTGGAAATACTAAAAGAAATTTGGAATCCAAACTGCTTAACATGGTGGATGAACCAGCTGGGTAACACAGTTTGGGTATAATAAAACAATTTATTTGCTTTGGCTCATACTTGACTCTGAAAGCCATTATAAAACACAAGTTCCAAATGTAGTTAGAGCCCTATAATGGAATAGTTGCAGAAATCTTTTGAAGGAACTACTTTACCCAGACTCATATGAGTGTGTAATTTCCAGCCTGATGGTTTTATTTTCATAAAAGGAGAGAAACAGCTAAATTGGAGGATGCCTCACTCTCTAGTTTGTAGTCAGACCTTGTAATATTTTAGTCAGAGCTGCATCAGGGCTCCCAGGCCAACTGTTATTACCGAGACTCTAACCCCGTGCTGTTGTAGATGCTCTGTAATTCTCACCTAGACCTTCACTTCTCTTTTCTTATCAAATCTTGCCACTCAGGGTTCGCAAATGCCAGGCCCTTTTCTCCTGGCATTCTTCTTGTTAGTGCCTTTGACTTCCTTGTCTGAAGTGGAACCAGGTGACTCCTCTTACCGTTCCCCCTGCAGCCCTCCCAAGCACAGGTGGTTTCAGCTCTGTCTCTGTATCTGCAGCCAGGCAGTGGTAGGCATGCCACCTTCAATCCACTTGAGTTCCCTCTTCTCAGGAGCCATGCTTCTTCCCAGGGCTGCGTCACCAGCTCTGCCATCCCTCTTTCTGCTGACTTCCTGGGCGTGGCCTTCACCAGCAGCCCTGGCGACGGCTCATCGTCTTTCTCTCCACTCCTACCTCTCTCCTCCTTCTGGGTGACTCCAGCATCCACAAGGACAGCCAGCAAATGCTCTGTCTTGTCTGTTTCTTGGCCAGGCGGTCAGCAGTCCTCGCTTCTGCCTCCCCTTAGCCCTGCACTCCCTTGGTAGCATCATGGGTCTTATTAGCAATAACTGTGCCCATCTCCATCATTTCTCTTGTCTTTCTCTTCCACTTACTTGGGTACCTCATTTCAGCCATCAGTTGACCTCCATTGCTTTTTCATTATCGGTTACCTTCCACTCTCCTGTCTTGACTTCTCTCCTTGTCCACCTGGTCCATCATTATCCTTTCTCCCAGCCCTTGCTCCTCTTTCCCTCTATTGCCCTGGTCTAGCCAAGTCCCAGCCCTGGTTGGATCTTATCATCCACCTCCTCTATTTCTGAGCATCTGAATATTGCAGGCAAATGTGACACACCTGAGCTAATTTGTCACTTTAAATTCATGACCACAAGCTTCAAGAAAGGACTCAGTCGTGCTCAAAAATCCTACTTTTCTGACTTAGAAATTCCCTTTCCAACTCTCTGTGATGTCTGTCGCACTCAGTTGATGACCATGCCTCTCAATGAAAATAGAAGCCATCAGGGAAGAGCCACTTCGTGTTCTCACCACCAGACCCACAGGTCTCCCCCGAACCTGGGCTCAGCCTTTTCGTTTCTCTCCTTACAGAGAAGAGGAGTCCCTGCACCGGTCAGAGGCTAGTACCTGCCTCCTAGTCAGACACTGGCTCTTCCAGTTTGCCCTTCTCTCTCCTGGATATTTTCCCGTCTCTGCTGATCATTCCATCAACCTTTGTAAACATGCTTTGTGAAAGTGCAGAGCTTCTTAATCTAGGCCATGGCCGCCTTCCTGCCATAGATAGAATTCAGAAGTCTGTGAACTTGGGGAGGGCATTGTGGAATTCAAATCTATATTTTCTCTAACCTTGAACTGAATTTGTTTGTTTCTTCTGTTAGGAATGTCGGCAACAACCCAGCAGTGTTAGAGTAGCTGGGAGGTTGTCCTCAGTGAAATCCCAGGTATCTTCAAATGGCATTTCAGTTGTGACAGATATCTTGAATATTGTTTACCTTCATCAGTACTTTGAAATTATCATAGTTATGTCACCTGCCATTAGGTCTTGTTATTTAATGTGTTGACCAGGAAGCTGATTTCCTGTATTATTATCCCGTATTATTATATCACAGATTAAAAAAAGAATTTTTGGTAACTATTTCAATATAATTACCTTTCTTTACAATCTTGCATATTTTATTTTATGCATTTGAAAACATTATTCTGGGGAAGGGTCTGTAGATTTCACCCGACCACCGAAGGAGTTGGTGGCCTGTGAAGATTAAGCAGGCCTGCAGGAACATCTCTGTCTTGAAATAACTCCAACCAAAGCAAAACCATCCCCCCCTCACTTGATTCCACATCCCCTTTCTACTTCTGGCCTGTGATCCTCCCACTCAGAGGAAAGCATCTTGAATGAGATGTGTGTTCTCACTGTTCCTTCCTCTTCCCCTCTAGTTTTTTTCTTCACCCACCCCCAGCTGGCCCGCCATCTGCACCCCTCCAAGGACACTGCTGGTCCCCCGTGCCTGCCATGATCTCAGACCCCATAGATCCTTCTTTGTCCTCATCTTGTTCCACCTTTGGAGGAATTTGACCCAGTCGATTGCTCCCTCCTTCCCTAGACTCTGTCCTCTGGCTTTCAGACACTCATTCTCCTGGTTTTCGTCCCACCTCCCTCTGGACTCCCCCGCGTCCTGATTGGCTCATTCTCGTCTCGCCAGCTTCTAAATATTACTTTTCCTAGTTGGTCTCATATATTCCATGGTTTTATTTATTTTTTATTATTAAATTCTCATTTCGAAATAATTTCAGACTTATATAAATGTTGCCAGAATACCGCAAAGAATTCCTGATACCTTCCCTCTGATTTCCCAGGTGTTAGCATTATAATGTTTGCTTTGTTGTCCTTTCTCTCATTATATATGTGTATATATAATTTTTTTCCTGAACCATTTTAGAATAAGTTGCACCCATGATGCTCCTTTATTCCTAACTACTTCAGTGTGAATTTTCCTAAAAACAAGAGCTCTTATATAGCCCAGTAATCCAAATTAGGAAATTGACATTGCTACAGTACTGTTACCTCATTTGCAAACCTAATATAAGTTTTGCTACTTATAGCAAAAGAGGAAAAATAATTTCCCCTTGTCCAGATTCAATCCAGGACCACACGTTGCCTTTGAACTGTCATATCTCTTTGCTCTTTTAAAATCCAGAACAGTTTCTCAGTCTGCGATTTTAGTACCTTGACGTTTTTGCATAGTGGAGGCCAGTTATTTTGTAGAATGCCCCTCGATTTGGATTTTTTTGATGTTTCCTCAGACAAGTCCAAATGCATCTGTTCATCTCGGGCAGGGATACTGCACATGTGAATGTCTGTGCTGCTCAGTGCATCATATCAGGAGGCATATGACATCAATTAGCCGCATTACCGACGATAACTTTTTTTTTTGTAGTATGTAAAGTATGAAGTACACTAATATTGTTGTGCAGCTGTTGGTGTTTTTAATGTGGATCACTTTTTCACCAATTAGTTTTAGCATCCATTGATAATTCTTGCTTGAAACAATTATTATTGCTGACGAGTGATGATTTTCTAATTCCATCATTCTTTCTATAAAGTTTTTTAAGTGTCACATGGCTTTTAATGCCCCCCCCCCACGTCCTGATGACACCTACATTTATATCTCAACACCATTCTCTGGAGCTTTAGGCTTATATCTGCACCTCTTCATTTATATATACATCCCTAGATGATTTATTATATCCAGGAGGTAGCTTTTGATTTTCACCTCTTGGGCCCCAAGTCTATTCATTGCCTAGTTTTCCCCACTTCAGTAAGTGGCCCTACTGTTGTCCCAACTGCTTAAACCTAATAGTTAGATGTCGTTTTTTATTTTGCCCTTCCCTTTCTCCCTCACCCAAGTATGTTGGCAAGTTCTAGCTCTCCTATCTCTAGAATCATTCTCTCCATCTCTGTAGATTAGGCCAAGGTCATAAACTATGACTTTCTGCCTATTTTATAAATAAAGCTTTACTGGGACACAGCCATACCCATTCATTTACCCATTGTGTGGTTGTTTTCATGTTACAAAGGTCAGAGTTAAGTAGTTGCAACAGAGATCCCTGTATGGCCCTCAAGCCTAAAACATCTACTGTTTGTCCCTTTAAGGAAAAGTCTGCTGACCTCTGATCTAAGCGGTTGTCTCTGGCCTGGACATCTGCAGTGGACAGTTCCTTCCATCTGACCTCCCTACTTCCACTCTCACAGGAGTCCAGATGATCTTTTAAAAACATGGAGCAGATAATGTGATTGTCTTGCTTAAAACCTGATGATATCCCATTGCTCGTAGAATAAAGTAAATTCTTACGTGGCCTGTAAGGGGCTATGTAATCTTGCCCCATCCTCTCCAACCTGACATTACGCCATTCTCCTGCTTATGCTTCCTTGCTGTTTCTGGAACAGTCCAAGCCTTTTCCATCCTCTGGGCATTTATGCTTGTTCCCTGCCTGAAATACTCTTCCCCCAGATCCTTCATGTCTGATTCATTCTTACCCTGAGGTCCTCCCTCCTGGTGGCCTTCTCTGGTCAACCTAAGGTCATTCGCTTCACTACAGAGCAGGACAAGTCTACCTTGTTCACTGTTAGCTCATTAGTGCCTGATACAGTGCCTGGCACAGCGTAAGAGCCAAATCACAGTTTGTTGAAAGGAGAATGAATGAACGAGCGAATGGAGTGAATGAATAGACAAACACATTTCAAAATCATTTGTTTTTTCCATTGATTTTTTTTGAGCTGTAGTTAAATATGGTCTTTCCTGAGTCTTTTAGACGCCTTGGTTTGTTACAAAATTTTTATGATAAATGGTTACTTCTGCTAATGCATTGTTTTAAAAATTCTGTTCAGGAATTCCATACTTAAACCAGGAAGAAGAAAGACAGTTAAGAGAGCAGTATGATGAAAAACGTTTACAGTCCAACGGTGCAGGCGCTTTGTCGTACGCGTCTCCTAACACTTCAAAATGTCCCGTGACGATTCCTGAGGATCAGAAGAAGTTTATTGACCAAGTGGTGTAAGTTCCTAAACTGAAACCAAACGTGCGTTGAGTCACGTGTCTTGGAGCAGGGCTGACGTCTGTATCTCAGGCTCGTGCTTCACGTGCACAGTGCACACAGAGGTGTGATGTCTGAGGGGCAGGATTTAACTGTGGTGTATCTGAGTTTGTGTCACAGCTGTCAACTGTAAATCGAGTTCTGTGTACTGTACTTAGACTTCCCATGTGTCGCCAGGCAAGAGACTATCTTGGCCAAGTGGTCAGACCTGCGTGGACCACGGGCCTGACAGCCACCGTCCAGTCCCCATGAAAGCAGAGGCCCATCCAGATATTTGCAACACATCCATGTTTTTTTCTCTTGCAGTGAAGTTTCTGACAAGCAAATGTGCCCTCGGAGGAGCATCTGGTTTTGCTCTGTTTAGCTGTCAGTATAACTGCTTTACTAGTAAAGTAAAAATGCAAATCATTTGTATTGCTGAATCCTGGAGAAGTTGTTGAGAACTCATTAATAACAGCAACAAATGCCAAAATAAAGTATTTTTCTTTAAGCCTTACTGAACTAAAAAGTTATAACATGATTTGGTAAAATTACAGTGTCGTATGTTCTTGTATTTGGATTGCTTTTGAGTGTGATGATTCTGCTGGTTGACAACTTCATTCCTTAATGATGCTGATGGTCATGTTTTTATTCTAATTCCTCAGAGAGAAAATAGAAGATTTATTACAAAGTGAAGAAAACAAGAACTTGGATTTAGAGCCATGTACTGGGTCAGTTGCCCTGAATATTTTCATGTGTACTTTTTTTGGAAAGGTAGATGATTTCTGGCATGTGCTCCATTTGGTTGCTTAAAAATGCTTTCATAAATAGTCTTTTTATTATAGGTATGTTCCCAATATTTCAGCACTAACTTTAGCATTAACAGAATTGGGACCATGGTATATAGAGACACTGAATGAATGCTTTGTTCCATCCTGGAGGGGAGAAAACTGTTGTGCACCTTTGCTTTAAGTCATGCTCAAGAGTGGCATCATTATTGTAGCCTCGACTTGCGCTTCATACATAAAGGCTTCAGAAGAGCAGAATTTACTGTCAGGCTACTCCTGTTCCTTTTTTTTTTTTTTTTTTTTGCGGTATGTGGGCCTCTCACTGCTGTGGCCACTCCTGTTGCGGAGCACAGGCTCCGGACGCACAGGCTCAGCGGCCATGGCTCACGGGCCCAGCCGCTCCGCAGCATGTGGGATCTTCCCAGACCGGGGCATGAACCTGTGTCCCCTGCATCGGCAGGTGGACTCTCAGCCACTGTGCCACCAGGGCAGCCCTACTCCTGTCCTTTTAATTTCTCTCTGCAGTAAAAAACATCAGTGTTTCGTAGAGTCAGTGACTGAAACAGCCTGCTTTCCTTCCTTTTACTTTGTGACTAGCTTCACAGAAGTGTTTTAATACATCTCTCTACTTAAAACTCTTCATACAGCCACAGGAAGTAATACTTTGGTTAGACAAGAACTTCTGCCTCTTCTATAAAGGCAGTATAATAATAATAATAATAAAGAGCATTTCGATGAAGAAAAGTGGTGAGGAATCCTCCCACCTCAAACATCCTGTCTGCTCTTGTTTGCACATTACCTGTCGCTTCTGATGAAGTCTCCTTTAAAAATTAAATATTTTTCCCAATTTGAAAAAGAATAAATACATGTATATGAATAACTCAATCACTTTGCTCTACACCTGAAACCAACTCAGCATTGTTAATCAACTATACTCCAATATGAAATAAAAAAAATTCAATCCATCTTTATTTATTCTATCCATTATTATTATCATTATTATTTTAAATTTTATGTATTTTTGGCTGCATTGGGTCTTTGTTGCTGTACGTGGCTTTCTCTAGTTGCGGTAAGCAGGGGCTACTCTTTGTTGCAGTGCGTGGGCTTCTCTTGTTGCAGAGCATGGGCTCTAGGAGCGCAGGCTTCAGTAGTTGTGGTGCACAGGCTCAGTAGTTGTGGCGCACGGGCTAGTTACTCTGTGGCATGTGAGATCTTCCTGGACCAGGGATCGAACCCATGTCCCCTACACTGGCAGGCAGTTTCCCATCCACTGCACCACCAGGGAAATCCCCAATCCATCTTCTAAAAAAAAAAAAAAAAATTAAATGTCTTTCCCAACCAGTGCTTGGTCAGTTTGAATTTTCCTTTAATGAGCCAAAATTAATACCTTTTCATTTGTTTTTATAGGTTCCAAAGAAAACTAATTTATCAGACTTTGAGCTGGAAGTAAGTGTTTATATTATACACGAGAGCTCTGTGAGGGACCCAGGATTTAAAAACTAAATGTACTTTTTTAGCTCTTATTTCAGTTTTGATATTCTGCAGTGCTTGGTGATTTGACCGTACCATGTTCTTGGGCAGTGCTTTATTTTGTTATTGTTTTCCCCTAATTTCTTAAGTTGAATACCCACTTAATTTATTTCATACCCACTTAATTTATTTCCTTGTTATTCCTTCTTAGTAGATGTTGCAAAGCCTTTACAATTTTCTTTTAACTGTCACTTTGGCCTGTCCATTAACTTCTGGATGTGTAGTGTTTTTGTTCTTTGAAGGTATCAATATATGGTAAAGATTTGGTTTTAAGACCTGGGAAATACTCAGGTGAATGCTTTTTCTAAAACAGGGGTTAGGCCATGGGTAGGTTTCAGGAGGCCTATGAATCCCCTGAAACAATATCCAAAATTGTGTGTGTGTATTTTTCTGGCGGTGTTTCTATTGGTTTAATTATATTTTCAAGTGGATCTCTAACTCAAAAATTGAGTATCAGGATTAGACAGATGGATGTTTGCACTTGACTTTGTTTGGGGTTCTTGTTCTTTCGTTAGAGTCTGCCAGTGGCATGTATACTGGGAATTTACTTTGACCAAAACAGGAAAAGGGCCATTGTTGTTTGACCAGGCTCCTTTCCTCTCACGTTATCCTTGCCACGTACTCCACCCGAGTTCCAGATTCCTCTCCTGGGCAGATGAAACTACTTTGCCGGATTACAGCAGAGTTACTCATCTCACATCTCCCCTGTGCATGCCCCAGATCATCCAAAGAGACCTTCAGAATTTTTCTTAGGAAGTAAACATTGTGATATTTAGAAGCAAGATTTGACAGTGTAGTAATGAGTTGACTGTATTACGGGATGCCTGACATTTCAGAAGATGCCTAAGTCCTAAAAATATTAATTTGAAATCAGTTACATTCCTGTGTGTTTTTTTTTTTTTTTTTTGCGGTACGCGGGCCTCTCACTGTTGTGGCCTCTCCCATTGCGGAGCACAGGCTTCGGACGCGCAGGCTCAGCGGCCATGGCTCACGGCCCAGCCGCTCTGTGGCATGTGGGATCTTCCCGGACTGGGGCATGAACCCGTGTCCCCTGCATCAGCAGGCAGACTCTCAACCACTGCGCTACCAGGGAAGCCCACATTTCTGTGTTTTAAGAGGAGAGAGAGGGAAACATTTAGTAGCTGAAATTACTCTAAAGTCTTCCTAGTAGCGGTATTTATTTCATACTTAATAAAACTTAAGTAATGAAATTATGGCTATGTAGTTGTTTTTAAAATACGTAGGGTTTTAGCTGTTGTCTCATCTACTGACGTCATGTTTTCTTTCTTTTCTTTAGGTATCCCAAAGGCATTCATGTTGAGACTTTAGAAACTGAAAAGGTAACCTCAAGAATTATCCAGGGCCAACATCAAACGCATGAAACCTATGCAACAGTATGCAAATGCAAAATGCAATCAAATCGAGCAGTTGAAAGTCAGAGTTTACTCCTTGGCTCTGCTACATATGAACTGGGTGACACTGGGCAAGTCATTTCCCCTCTGCCAGCCTCGTTTTCCTCATTTGTGCATTGGGCATGAGCATGGTAATGAGCTATACCTATCTCACAGCTTTTTAAAAAATAGTTATCAAGTGGGTAGATGGAAGTGAACATGCTTTGTAAACTTGAAAGTATGCAAATGTTAGTACATGTTCTTAATCCTCACAGAAAGCTGATATACATGGTGTCCATGTAAAAATTGCTTCCTGTTATGTGGCCCAGTAAAATTAAATTTTAGAATCTGGGGCATAAACATAGCTATCATCATGTACTCCCAGGGTGCAGTGATAGAACTGTGATGGGTAAAGGTGGGCTGATGGTGAGCTAATAGTGCGTTCCTTCTACAGAATTTTAGAATTTAGTTCTTGTTGTTAAGTCAGATGTCTAATTAAATAAGAGATTAAGTAAATTAAGTCTTGCTAGAAGAAAAATCTCAAACTTTGACACAGGAGGTTTTGTAGTATATTTGATTGATACAAAATGCAGTATGTGAGAAAGAAGGTGCTAGTTATCTGACAAGTTACCAGAAAATCCAGGATTTTTTTTTTTTCCCTTTTTTTTGGCCATACCACACGGCTTGTGGGATTTTAGTTTCCCGACCAGGGATTGAACCCGGGCCCTTGGCAGTGAGAGCCTGGAAGCCTAACCACTGGACCACCAGGGAATTCCCCAGGATTTTTTTCTTATGTTAATGAAATGTAGAAATTTTTTTATCGAGGTGTGGTTAACTTACAATATTACAGTTTCAGGTGTACAACATAGTGATTTAACATTTTTTATAGATTATATAGAAATTATCTTAAAAACAACTATTTAGAAATTCATGTTCAAATGCAGCATCTTAGTGTTCATTATGGAGTGTCTTATTCTCACAGTCTGTTGATATTTATAATTGTCTTTTGGGGTGATTAATAAACCATGGGAAAATGTCATGGAAACACGGAGGTGGAGTTTTGGTTTGTAAAGCATCAACTCAACTTTTGGTGGCATTTCAAAATACTTTCAGTGTGTTTAGCCCATGAAGGACTGTGCAGTGAGAAAAACTGTACTTCTACTGGTAGCAGAATCTGAATTTTGGGGGGTAGGGGTCAGGTAGCTTCCAGAAAATTGTATATCTGCTTTATGTCTTTTAGAAAGAGCGCTATATTGTTATCAGCAAAGTAGATGAAGAAGAACGTAAAAGAAGAGAGCAGCAGAAACACGCTAAGGAACAGGTGATTGGATTATGTTCATTTCCTTTGGGTGAGAAATGGCTACAGAGTTGTAGATCCTGTGATAGATTCAATTTAATGAATATTTTTCTACTAGAGAAGAATCGAATTGGTAGCAAAACCTGGAAGAGAATGAGGGGAACCTAAGGTTAAGTAATTAGATGCAGCCAACAAAGTGAGGCTGGCATCATGGTTGACCAGTCTTCACTTCCATGAAGCAGTCTTGGAGAAGGAATTAGTGGTTATCATTTAAATTGTGTGTCACTGAGCTTCACAGCCCATTAACTAATCTTGCTGTGTCTAACTTCAGGCACAGTTACTAGTTTTCCTAAAACAAAGTTTAGATGATATGATTTGACAGATTAGGATGCACGGTCATATTTGCATCGTTGGAACCTCGCCCTGGTTGTCCTCTGGAGAATGGATTCGAGTAAGTCTGGAGGCAGGGAGACCAGTTCACCTGCGGAGTAACCAGCTAAGAGATGTCAGTGCCCTGGAACAGGAAAGTTAGTAGCAGTTTAGGTGGAATCTGGCCATCTTTAGAAGGTAGCGTCAGGAATTTGTGATTGGATGTGGGTGGTGAAAGACGAAGGCAGAAGAAAGAAGATGCTCAGGCCGGGAAGTTGGGCAGCTGGGTAGGCTGACATCAGTCCACTTAGATGGGGTGGCGGAGTGGTGTTGGTGGGGGAGCGCAGGTGGAGGAGGCCAGGAGTGGGTTTGGGCGAGGGTGGACGTCCAGCTCACCCATGCATAAAGCAGGGCCACATCAGACTAATGCAACCAGGAAAGACACAGCAAGCCTCTGTTAGATTTAGACAGTTTATGACTTAGAGAAGGTGACAGCTACACGTGGTGCTTGTCCCACAAACCAAAAAGACAACACTGAAACAAAAGGGGCCAGGTGACTGCAGAGTGAGCTGTGGATGCCCCATCGCCGAGCAGCCAACTCTAGACTGTGGCTAAGTGCTTTCATACTCTGTAGCTCTATTCTGAAAAGGCAGTGGGGCAGGAAGCCCCAGGCCTCATCAGAACCTGGGCAGCAGTGAGAAACTGTCTCATGACAGCCTCCCAGGCGAGAGAGGGAGGTGGCCTCCCATCCTCTCCTGGGGTGTTCCATCCAGATGCACATTAGTTACATCTCAAGCCTTTGCCTGCGTGGACTATCTGGATATGTGCAAGGTCACCAGGATACCGTGGTAGGGCTGTACCCCTACAGTGGACAAAGGTGTTACATTCTGCTTTTGAGCAGATGAGGTTTTCGATGTTTTGGGGGCATCTGAGCATTGGTGTCCTGTCAGCAGATTGTCGTGCTGGAGTGCAGGAGAGGGGTGAGGGCTGGACTTTGTTGTTGTTGGCAGAGAGACCGGGACAGGATGAGAGCACCTATCATATGCATGAGGAAGGAGCAGAGGGCCCAGGGTCGGATCCTGAGGACCACCAGCATCTGAGTGATGGGCAGAAGTGCAGAAATGTGCCTGAGGTTATTGTGACACCGCAACCAAGGGGAAGAGTGTTTGAAGAAGGGGATGTTGACAGGGTCTGATGCTCTTGAGAAGTAGAATGAGGACTGAGACATAGCCATTGGGTTTAGCCTTGGGAGTAGGTTTTTTTCTTCTTTTTTAAAGAACATTCTTTAAAAAGTTAAAATAATTTTAATTCTGGTAAAATGTATAACATAAACTTTACCATCTTAACCATTTTAAACTGTACAGTTTTGTACTGTAAAATATATTCACACTGTTGTGCAACCGTCACCACCATCCATCTCCAGAACTCCTTTCATCCTGCAAAACTGAAACTCTGTACCCATTAAACAATAACTTCCCATTCCCCCATCCCTCAGCCTCTGGTAACCACCATTCTACTTTCTGTCTCTGTCAATTTGACTGCTCTAGGTGCCTCATGTAAGTGGAATCGTACAGTATTTGTCTGTTACTGGCTTAGTTCACTTAGCATAATGTCATTTAGGTTCATCTGTGTTGTAGCATGTGACAGAATTTCCATTCTTTTTAAAGGCTGAATAATATCATATGTACTACATTTTGTTTATCCGTTTATCTGCTGTTGGACACTTGTGTTGCTTCTACCTTTTGGTTCTTGTGAATAACGCTGCTCTGCACATGGGTGTACAAGTATCTCTTTGAGTCCTCGCAGTTCTTTGGGGCACATACCCAGGAGTGGGATTGCTGGCTCGTATGGTAGCTCTGTTTCTAATTTTTTGAGGACCAGCCACACTTTTCCACAGTGACTGCACCACTTTACATTCCCACCAACAGGGCACAAGTGTTCCAATTTCTCCACATCCCTGCCAACGCTTGTTAGACTTGAGAGTAGTTTAAAGAGGTGAGCAACTTCAGTGAGGGTGAAGCGGGGGAGCAGGGGGCTTGCGGGTCCCTGGGAGTTGAACTGGACCTAGTGAGTGGAGAGGAGTCTTTAAGGAATTTAGCTGTGAAGAGACAAGAAGGAGAGTGGTTGCGTGGAGCTCAGATTAAAGGAAGGGGTTTCAAGATAGGAGAGAAATTGAGCCCATTTAAGTGCATTGGGAATAAAACAGGAGAGAAGAAACTGAATGGGGATGAGTCTCAGTGTTGTGCTATAAAAATTTTATAAAAATGCATTTGACCAGGAAAAAACAGTCTGAACATTCTTGATTTGACAGTCAGCTGCTGGGTGGGTCACCTCAGAATTGAATTCAGTATTGAGTTTGGCCAGCAGGTGGCAGCTTTTAAAAGTTTGTGTTTCTAAGGCAACTTGAGAGACTAGGAAATTTCAACAGTTGATGGGAAGTGATGGGTAAACCCTAGCACTGTTATTTTAGTAACTAATGAATAATTTGCCACTTTGCTCATTTTAAAACAGAAGAAAGTTATGTGCATAGATCATTTCAGATGCAGTTGTTTGGGGTGATAGCTCAAAGCATGTGAAACTAAAGCTATCTAACTCCATATAAAACTTCAGTCTTTTTTTTTTTTTGCCTAGATTTTAACCCGTTCAAATAAGCAATATGTATACGTCAATAGTGGTTTTTTTGTTTTGTTTTTAAATTAGGAAGAACTGAATGATGCTGTGGGGTTTTCTAGAGTCATTCATGCCATTGCTAATTCGGTAAGTGAACCAGACTTTTTAACTAATTTCATGAACATAACATTTAAGGTGAAATGCCCAGTTATCATTGCACATTAATCATCTGGTCACGTTTAGATTGTTTACCTGGTCTGGAGGGAGAAGTTAGAACTTCATAAAGACAGAATGTTGTTATAAGGCGCTTAGTGTGACATCGTAATTGCGGTATTATATCCAAACCATTTTTTTAGAAAGCATTTCTTGTAAAACGCAGGGGAGGATTATACAGTGACAGCCTTATGTGGCTCCATGGAACTAATATTTATTATTCTCAAAACCAATAAGAAGCAGAATAACAAACTAAAGAATATGGTGAGAAACAATCTAGTGTTTGAAGCGTTTTATTCCTTAATTAGAAGAATCTAGAGGGTAAAAATAATTGTATTGAGTTCTCTGCATAACTGTGATTGAATCTTATATCTCATAGCCTTAATAACATTTGATACATTTAAAAAAATGTATTGACCATTTGTGTAAATATGCTGGAGGGTTCTGTAATAGATAGGATAGACATTTCCCCTTGTTTCGTAAATCCTTTCAGGAAAGAGGCACCCACATCTTGAATAGATTAAACTGGGTCTTGCTGCTGGTTGTTTTGTGAGTTTTGCATCCGAGTCAGACTGCTTGCCTGGATGCTAAGTTGCCTGGAATCCAAGACTTTTCTTTACTAGAGTAGCTGGCCTAGGGAGAAGAAGTTGTTCCCCTGCAGGAGGAGTCATTTTGTCCCTTAGACGCTGAACTCTGCATCAGGGAAGCTTTACGGCCAGGCTCCAGGAGTCCATGAATGTCTCACCACCAGGTGCAGGCTTGTCAAACAGGAGCATCTGAGGAGAGGCAGCCACTGTCCCCCGTGGGGGCGGGGGGCTGTGGCCAGTAAACAGAAGTTAGAGAGCCTTGTGAAGGAGGAGGGCTGGCTCACCTGGAGCTCTTTCGCTCAAGTAAGTGACGTCATCAGAACGGAATAGAGAGTTGGATGAGCCTGGAGAAAAACCAAGGTGTGAGTCTCTTGAGAAGTGGCTAAGATTACGGGTATCCAGAAAAGCAGAGAGGAGTCACATTTGCTTACATTATACACTCTTACCAACCTTTAGAGCAGTGGTTGATTTGACTGAGGCTGTCCGTGAAACACAGAGATGTGGGGTGGCAGTTGGCTTTGAGCCCTCTTATAGCCACTGTGAGGGTTTAGGTAGCTTTTCCAAGATTGGGACGTTTGTTTGCCTTGTACAAACAATTTGGATACCTTAGCCTGCTGTGCCTCTGTTTATTTTTTCTCTCTGTTGTCTCTCTTCTGCAGAGTGATTCATAGTATGTTGCTGACCATTGGTAGTTCACGTCACAAAGCATACTGCGAGAAAAGCCCTATTTATTAGTGATCCAGACTTAAAATTTAAAAGTCACATACCTTAAAAATACTAACATAGTTAAACTCTGTAGAGCCAGTGAACAGTAGACTCTCTTTATATCAGATCAAATTCTTTTCCCATCACTCTTGGTAGTGAATCTGCTTTAAAAAATTTTGTATTAATTTTTCACCCAGAGAAAAGTTGCAAAATTGGTGCAGAGTTTCCATATATCCCTCACCTAGCTACCCCAATGTTATTATCTTACATAATATACGGTTATCAGAACCAGGAAATTAACATTGGTACAATATTATGAACTAATTTGAATTTCACCCTTTTCCACTAAGTCCTTTTTCTATTCACAATTCTATCTAGGATCCCACATTGCATTTACTTGTTATTTCTCCTTAGTTTTCTGCAGTCTGTAATTTTCTTTGTCTTTTATAACCTTGATATATTTTTAAAAATATTTATTTATTTATTTGGCTATGTCAGGTGTTAGTTGCGACATGTGGGCTCTTCCTTGCGGCACGTGGGCTCTCTAGGTGTGGTGCGTGGGCTCTAGAGCGCACAGGCTTAGTTGTCCCAGGCATGTGGGATCTTAGTTCCCTGACCAGGGATCGAACCCATTTCTCCTGCATTGGAAGGCGGATTCTTAACCACTGGATCACCAGGAAAGTCCCAACCTTGATATTTTTAAAGAATGTTGACTGTAATTTTGTCAGATGTCTCTCAGTTTGGATTTGTCTGATCTTTTCTCATGTTGGATTGAGGACATACATTGATTGAGGCTGGAATACCACAGAAATGACGGTTCAATGACGGTTCATGATATTGACCTGAATCACTTGGTTTAGGTGATGTCTGCTGGATTTGTGCACTGTAGAGTTACTGTTACCTCCTTTGTGACTGATAAATATTTTTGGAGAGATACTTCGATTGAGACAAGGAAAATCCTGTGTTTTTTTGTTTTTTTTGTTTTTTTGTTTGTTTTTTTTTGTTTATTTGTTTGTTTGGGGTTTTTTTGGCCGCACCACGTGGCGTGCAAGAGTTCCCTGACCAGGGATCGAACCCTTGCCCCCTGCGGTGGAAGCGCAGAGTCTTAACGAATGACTAGACCACCAGGGAAGTCCCGAAAATCCTGTTTTTCCTCAAGCTTTTGCCTGTAACCGTAGCATCTGTCGGTGGATCTTGCCTGCAGCCATTATTGCTGTGGTTTTCTAGTGGCGAGTCTGTGTTTCCCTCTTTCTTTCTCCATTCGTTCTTGGAATTCTTCTAGAAGGAAGAGCTGTCCCTGCTCCCCTGTTTATTTGTTAATTCTTTTTAAAATTTTTTTGGACTCAGGGAAATTTATTTCATTCTACAGATTTTAATCTACTTTTTTTATTGTTTATTTTGGGGCTCAGATGGTACCACCTTGGCCATTGGAGTTTCTTCAGGTTGACTCCCCCTGGAACAAGCCCCCACCCTTTTCTGAGCACGTCCTTACTTTCTGACATCACAAGATGTTCCAGACTCATCTTCTATTTTCCCTGCCTCAGCTGTAGAATCAATGACTTCTCCAAGGAGCCCTGGTTCCTTTTATTGGAGAATGGTGTTTCGAAACCAAGATCTGGTCCTGGGCTATTACTGTGGTGTTAGTGCTTCTAGTTCCCCTCACTGGACAGAGCTAAGAATGATACACGTGTGTAACCATGCATGTATACACACATTGATATTTCCATGTCTGACATATATGTATATATATTAAAAAATGCCTTTATACTGATAGACCTCAGATTGTAGTCCCATACCACAGGGTTTCTTTTCTTTTTTTAAAAAAATTAATTAATTAACTAATTTTTGGCTGCATTGGGTCTTCGTTGCTACGCGCGGGCTTTCTCTAATTGCGGCTGCGGTGAGCGGGGGCTACTCTTCGTTGCTGTGCTTGGGCTTCTCATTGTGGTGGCTTCTCTTGCTGTGGAGCACAGGCTCTAGGCGGACAGGCTTCAGTAGCTGTGGCACACGGGCTTCAGTAGTTGTGGCTTGTGGGCGCACAGGCTCAGTAGTTGTGGTGCACGGGCTTAGTTGCTCCGTGGCATGTGTGATCTTCCCTGACCAGGGTTCGAACCTGTGTCCCCTGCATTGGCAGGCAGATTCTTAACCACTGCGCCACCAGGGAAGCCCAGGGTTTATTTCCAACCTACTCTCTTTTCTTATTTGTACATTTTTTTCTCCAGCATTGGGAAATGCAGTTCTTATTATATGCTGTTTTCATAGTTCTGTTCTTATCAGCTTCCTTCAGTGTTGTTGAGGGATTCATTTATAATACAATTAGGTTCGTCTTTCAGGTTTGTATTCCATTTTGGGTTCCTTCCACGTATTCTCTGTGGTTTTAATCAATATTTGGTATTTTAGCATTGTATAGGTGTTCAGAATGTGCCCACACACTGAGCCAAAAGGACGGCTTGTCTTTTGGATTTGGGAGATTTTGTGTAAAATTATTTATTTCAAATAATTACGTTTAGCTCTGTGAGTCAAGGAGTGTTACTCTGAAGGGCCACTGGGACATAGTGAAAAGCTCCACTGTAGTGACCAGATGCTTTATGTTAAAAATGCTGTCACCTGGCTAGCTAAATCCAAGTTGATATTCCGTTTTCGTAGTTTAATTTTTATCAAAATGGACCAATTTATTGCACATATATTATACCTTACTGGTTGAAAAGCAGTGAATTTCATTGGAAATATTTCAGAACGAGCCCCATGAATTTTGACATAGATAATGAAGGAAACGAAAACTCATTCTACTTAATAAAATTAGAAATTAGTTATTTTTACCTTTTAGCATTGTTATGAATATATCTTTTGGAAATAAGTGAGTTGTTTTAAAGAATACACTCCGAAAATAGATATTTGGAGTTTGTTGACAAATTATTCGACAGTTCAAGGTACCTAGCATTTTCAGTTACTTTCTTGAGCTCTTCAATAAAAATTTTACTACTGATTCTTGTGGGTGGCAAGATGAATAAAAACGAGAGAAAAAAAATCAATGAAATCAAAGTCATTTGGAGTTTTACTTTGCATTTTGGATTGAACACCAGAAGAGGAATGAAGTCAGCCCAAATTTCTTTATTTGCATATTTTATACATTTTTTTTCCTTAGTGTCAAAAAGTAAGTTTAGTACAAAATCCTTATGGAACTGAACCATACATTTCACTCTCAAGTCCTGATATAATTTTGTACCAAGAAGTCTTTTCCTAATCTTGACTTTTTTTAGGGGAAACTTGTCATTGGACACAATATGCTCTTGGATGTCATGCACACGGTTCATCAGTTCTACTGCCCTCTGCCCTCGGTAAGTGACTTGTCAGCCTGTTTTAAAAATTCTTGAGTCTTTATTACTGAGAAAGTGTTCTCTGCTGGGTGCCATTTCCTTGTCTGCAGCATGCTCCCAGAGGGACAGTCTCCTGAACTTGGTTGTACATTTTTGAAGATATCTACCTACAAGCCATTTTAAGGGATCTTTGGTCATCTGCCATTGCCGGAGCACGGTTAAACATTTGTTTCATCGTGGCGCCAGTGGTTTGCTCAGTTAGTGCTGGGTGGGGGTTTCCTGGGCCGCAGGTGTGGTCTTCTAGTTTGATATTGCTAACAGGAGAAATAGCAGGGCCGTTGAAGGTGGGGTGGTGCTAGAGGTCATCTAGACTGGATCAGGTTGTGCAAAAGTCTTGCTTACCTCTTTTGAGGCTGCTTCCCTTAGGTTCTCTGTTGACCTTGGTGTTTTTTTTTTTTTACTCTTGGAGCCAGGCCATCTCAGTGCACCAAAGCATGAGCTTTGGGAAAAGAGCTTCTCTTCTATCTCCTCCTCTTCTGCTCCTTGACTGCCCGTGGCCTCGTCTCGTTTTCCCCTCGTCACTCTGTCCTCTCCTCTCCTGTATTTTCTCTCCATATTTTCTGTCCTTTAGTCATCTCACCCACTTCCAGGACTTCAGCTGAAGACACCCACATCTTTTTCTCCAGCTGGGATCTCTCCTCAGATCTAGGTCGTAATTCATGCTGGACCCCACATGTGTCTACCTGGATAGCCTTCAGAATGAGAGGTGTTTAAAATTCACATGCTGCAAACAAGATGTGTAACTTAACACAACCTTTCTTTCCTTTAGTCTCCAATCCAGTTCTTTCTCCTGATTCCTTTACTATAAATGATGCCCAGTCACCAATACTGTTTTTAACATCGGTTTGACCCTTCTTCTGTGCCCCAGATTTGGCCAGTTACAAAATACTGGCAATTTTGTCTCCGGGCTGTCTCTCACATCTGGATTATTTTCATTTCAAGTAGCAAGTAGCCTTATTTCTCATCTGGAGTTAGCAGAAAGAATCCAGCCAGGATTCTCTGTCTCGCTTTAACCTTCATCCCATCCTTTAAACCAGAGGTTGGCAAACTTGGTCAGATAGTAAAATATTCGGGGCTTTCCAGGCTGGACAGTCTTTGTCAGGACTCTCAACAGTGCCACTGTAGCCTGAAAACTGCCATAGAATGCAGTGCATAAACAAATGGGTGTGGCTTTGTCCCAGTAAAATTTTATTTAAAAAATAGGTGACGGGCCAGATTTGGCCTGCAGGCCATGGTTTTCCAACCTCTGCTTTAAACTACCACCAGATTAATCTTTTATGACTTCTGGATTGGATGATACCTACTTTAGAGTTCCGTGCCTTTTATATATCTGCAAAGCCTCAGTTACTTCATATTTCTTACGAGACATCGTTCCATCAGCATCTTGATTACTTTTCTTTGGAAAAGTCCAACACAGCACAGCTCTGAATACAGCGGGTCTGTTGCTTCCCTCCTCCTATTTCTGCAACCTTCAGATTGTCCCTGCTTTTCATAACAACTGTATCGCCCTCTGGGACTCAAAGACATCATAGTTGTGAGTCTCAAAACAAACATGATGGGTGTGAATTTGCATTGTGTACATCTAAAGAGCTAATGTTAATTTCAGATCATTCACTCCTTATTGGCCGAATGGTAGCAGTCTCTCTCACGACTTTTTGACCTTTAAAGCAGTGAAGGTATCTGTAAGGAAAGAGGAAAGTATTTAATACTGTGTTTATAGGTGTTTTGAACACCAAACAGAGCTTGGCATGTAAGATGCATTAAATATTGATTTAACAAATGCGAATCTTCCGACTGTGTCAGTTTTATAATCTCCTGATGTATGGCTCTGTTCACATCACTAACCCTGCTCAAAATTCTGAATTAATCCCACATTCTTTGTTTTTCTATGCAGTTGATTCTTTTTAGCCTGGCATATCAAGCTTTCTGTGATCTGGCCCAGCCTTCTTGTGTAATCTAGTCACTCGTTACCATCCTTATTCTCAGCAAGATTGGCTCATTTTTTCCCCTGGAAAGTGTCTTTGTATGTCTTTGGTTTGGGTATATAATTTCCTCCAACTTGAATTTTCTCTAGCTTTTCTCAATGTTTGCTATATATGGCTTTACCTGTCTTACCAAGGTCCAGCTTACACCTCTTCTGTGAAGTTTTCCCTGCCTGCTGCCTTGCCCAAGAAGTGATCTTTCCTTTCTCTGAACTCCCACAGAAGTTCAGAGAAACTTCTTTTTGTTTGTGTACCTCTTTTGTTGCATAAATTTTATCTTTACAACTTACTCCCCTTTTCCTTCTAGGTGATTCGCTCCTTGGACAAGGAATATAACCTTTATTTTTTTTTTAATTTTATTTTTCTTACTTTTTGGCTGCATTGGGTCTTTGTTGCTGTGCATGGGATTTCTTTAGTTGTGGCAAGCGGGGGCTACTCTTCATTGCGGTGCATGGGATTCTCATTGCGGTGGCTTCTCTTATTGCACAGCATGTGCTCTAGGCGTGTGGGCTTCAGTAGTTGTGGCACTCGGGCTCAGTAGTTATGGATCACGGGCTCTAGAGCGCAGGCTCAGTAGTTGTGACACACGGACTTTGTTGCTCTGTGGCATGTGGGATCTTCCCAGACCAGCGATTGAACCCATGTCCCCTGCATTGGCAGGCAGATTCTTAACCACTGCACCACCAGGGAAGTCCTGGACAAGGAATATAATTTTTTTATTATCCATGTCTAAATGCCTAGCATAGCACTTAGTATGTAAGCACTTAATAAATGTTATCTTGAATGTAACTAGTTTTGAATCAAATTCTACTAGAAAGAGCATATGATTTGTTGCAAAGTAGGAGGTGGGTTAGGATAAGCAGTTTCATCCCTTGCTTTATTACTCAGGTGACCTGAGTATGTTATTTAACTTCTTTGTGTTCTGTCATTGTTGGAAGGAGAAAATGGTTTTCTTCCATCTACCTTTAGAAGAAGCGATGACAATAAAGAGCAAGACCTATTTAAAATGGTAGAACTTTTACATATGCTGTTGTCAAATGTTGCATTTAAAAGTATACTAAAGAATCCATATTTGGGGACAGCCTTTTAGGGGAGAATCTCCTTTTAAAAGTCTTCTTGGTATTTCATTCAGCATGACCTTTTAGAAGGCACTGGTTTAGAACTCTACTGTATGCTGGCCGTGGAAGTTGCCATAATTCTATTTTTTTTTTTGCTTGTGAGGCTTTGTAATGGTATTGAGAGGTTACAGTCTTTATTGCATTTTTGTGTGACTTAGCATTGAAACCACTTATTCATGTATTGTTCATTAATTTAATGATAGCCATTGAAAAGCTGGTAAATATTTCAAGCTAGCTAAATAGTCTGTATTTACAGGCTTGAAAAGCTAATGGGAAATGGCAGTTGCCTATGAAGCATGAATAACACTGAAGAGAAGTATAGTTACAAAGGGTCAGGAGTATGACTGCGCAGTACAGTGTGGCAATTATGTATGTAAATGAGTTAATTCAAAATGAGAGCAATCTCATTTCAGCTCTAGACTTCCTGAGCAAATAAACTTGGGAAATGAATTGTCTAATTTAGGCACTTGCTATTGGTGCCACTTAAGCAGTTTTCTGAGTAGTTAAACAAGAATCATGTGTATTGGAAAGTCTGTGTTTTAGTGGCCATTTTAACCAGTATTTCAATGGTGTTTCCATTAAAAGTGTAACCTAATTTACAATATATTTCTTGCATGAACTGCTTTATTTTATTTTTAAAAAATTTTTAATGAAGTATAGTTGATTTACAATGTGTGTTAATTTCTGCTGTACAGCAAAGTGACTTGGTTATACATATATATATTCCTTTTCATATTCTTTTCCATTATGGGTTATCACAGGATATTATGAACCATGTTATTTAAATAACTCTACTAGTCTCACTATTATGATGAGTTGTGTAATAGAGCTATTACTGACAGTTTTCTACATATAAGAGAAACCTTTTTCCCCCTCCTATTTCAGCCATAAAATGTTCATATTTGTCTATTTTGGTTATGCAGAAGTTTAATATCAGGTCATATGATTCCCAGTCAGTGAGGAAATTGACAAGATTTTTAGAAAGTAATTATTAACGAGATATGGGCCTGACAGTTTAGCATAAAGGGCCTGTTTGAGGTATCACTGTTTGAGAAGAGAGCTATGGGACTTTAAATATTTATGTTTTAAATATTGTGAGTGTATGAGTAAAATCATAACAGGTCATCCTCTTTTTTTTAGGACTTAAATGAGTTTAAGGAGATGACAACATGTGTCTTCCCCAGGTAAGCTTTCTTTGAGGATTTGTCTTTCATTTATTTTTTTTATTATTTTTTAATAATTTATTTAATTTATTTATTTTTGGCTGCGTTGGGTCTTCATTGCTGCACGCAGACTTTCTCTAGTTGTGGCGAGCGGGGGCTACTCTTCCTTGCGGTGCGCGGGCTTTTCATTGTTGTGGCTTCTCTTGTTGCGGAGCACAGGCTCTAGGCACGCAGGCTTCAGTAGTTGTGGCATGTGGGCTTCAGTAGTTGTGGCTCATGGGCTCTAGAGCGCATGCTCAGTAGTTGTGGTGCATAGGCTTAGTTGCTCTGCGGCATGTGGGATCTTCCCGGACCAGGGCTCGAACTGTGTCCCCTGCATTGGCAGGCGGATTCTTAACCACTGCGCCACCAGGGAAGCCCCTGTCTTTCATTTAAAACAGTCATCAGAGCATCCATAATACAAACAGGTATTCAGTGATTTATTAAAACCATTAGGTCATGATGACAATCCCATTCACATAAGCTGGGAAATGGCTTAACAGCTCTACCTTTGTGATGGTTTGCTTTTACAATTGATGATTGATTTTGTTGTTAAAAATTAAAAATCAGAAACGACCTGAGGGTGAAAATGGTCAGCAGCTGCTTTTTTCTCATCCCACCTCGCGCTATCTGAGGAACTGGTGAGGTCTTCTTGAGTTGGCTCTTGTCTTTCTTGTATGTCGGGTGAACCTTGTCACGGTGAAGTGTCCAGTCGAGGGTATTCAGTTGACTATTGGAGACAGTTGAATATATAGTTGGACAGAGTTGAATACATCCAGTTGAGAGTATTCTGTAGTCAGTCAAGAACTGTCTGCCTAGAGAGTTTCTTTTTCTCAACTTTAAGTCAGTGCCTTAATCTGATAATGTCCACGGTTAGTACTGTGTGTTCTGATAGGTCCACGTGAGCCACATGGAGTCCGCAGAGCAAGGGTCTGCGTCTGAGGACCTGTCTGAAGAGGGCTGGTGGACAGTTGCTGTTTCAGCCAGGCTATTTCTGTCCTGTTATCTGCGGTGCTCACATTTATGTGAGAACAAACAGTTTTCATATTAGTGTCTCTTTCTTTTTTTTTGTTTTAGTATTCCAGTGTCTGAAGCAGAATAGTAAGAAATAACAACTATAGTATGAAACTGCCAAATGCAAATTTTGACCCTCCAAGATATTATGTCGAACAAATCTGGGTAGTGGTAGGAGATGGTAACAGCTTGAGAGTGTTAGACCTGCAACAGTAGTTGATCCATGTAAAAACATATGAGGATATTTAACTTACCCTTGAGGTCAATGTAGCCCATGCCCTCTCAGCAAATCTAGAACTTGTACTCTGGGTGTGGACTTTCCCACAGTCTCTTGATGAAGTCCCTGGATGAGGGGACTGAGTCCTCATCTAATGTAGCAGAGATGCCAGCACTAGGTTGGAATGGCTGATGTGCTTAATTCCTCTGTCCACTTTTAAGACTTTCATTTGAGTAAAATACATTTTGAACATTGCTATACATTTTGTTTACCTTATTAAAAATTCTTTTGCTTTTAGACTCTTGGATACAAAATTGATGGCCAGCACACAACCTTTTAAGGTATTTTTAAAATCTGAACTTTCAAGCTATAGTTTGAAATTTTCTGAATTACTGCTAAGAGCTTTGGAATTCTGGTCTATTGAAATGTCATTTTCAAACCCCCCCCCGAAAAAAAAAAAGAAAAGAAAGAAGGGAACAAAAAAGGAAAAAAGAAATCGGAAACAGACTAGAAATAAATATATCAAAATGTGAATAGCAGTTAGTTGTCTTTGAATGGTAGAATTTTGGGGTTTTTTTCTCCTTTATTCTTTCTGAATGTAAATTTTTAATATTATGTAATGTATTTTTGAATAGGTTACACATGCACACACTCCTTCATTTCTTTTCCTTATTTTACATATTTTGAATATATATTCTAATCAAGAGAATTCAGGTAAAAGTATAATCAGTTGCTACTTTCTGAAGTGACTTTATATGGCTGAGTGAAATGAATGCCAGAACAGTATAGCTTTCTGCCCAAAGGTCTGTAGATGTCTAACACATCTGTAAAAACCTTTCATACGGCTGTACTTTCCATATGGTGGAAATTAAACTTGCCGTTTCTCTTTCACATTGAAAAAAACAATGTGTTAAAGAAACACAAAACTCCTGTGTTTCTTTAAAGAACACAAGGGGGCAGTACTAGATGTTTTTGTTTTTGTTTTTTTCCTGACACTCAGTGAATCTCTTTAATGTATGTTGCACTGAGATGATGAAGGCTCATCATTCTCTGCTTACTGGTTTGCAGGATATCATTAACAACACATCCCTTGCGGAATTGGAAAAGCGGTTAAAAGAGACACCTTTCAACCCTCCTAAAGTTGGTGAGAATATAAAATGATCTTGAAAAGCCCTAAACACTTGGTGATAATTACGGATGTCTATCGTAGAAGAAAGGTGGAACTGTTCTAGAAATTACATATATTGTACATTTGTAGATTTTGGCTAAATTAACTTGCTCATGCCCTGGGTTGAATTACTGTTTTCTGAGTAAAGGTGGTCTTCTAATTCTACATCTGTTTTATGTGAGTAGGATTGGGTCGCCTGTTCATTGAGAAGTTTAGCAGTGGAAGCTTCAGGGCCTTTTTATTTCCTAATGCTTGGAATTCTCCCTAAACTTGATGTGTCTTTCTTTTTTATGGTGCTTTGTTTCAGAGGAGACAAAGTTGGTGATTAACTGCAAGGGCTAGAGTGAAAATATGCTTTCTGTCTCAGGAAAGCCCAAGAACTGGGTTTACAGATGAGGAAGGAGGGGCCCCAGCCCTTCCTCCTTCAGAGGTGGCTTAGGCACCCAACAGCAGCAGTGAGGAAAACCAAAAAGGGAGGAATGTTTCTTGGGGGCGGAGATGTTTTGCCACGTCTGGCCATGGCCCCTACCCAGGTATTTGGTGAACCTTCCAGGTGTTACTTCCTTGGTTCCTCTTAGCCTAGTTGTGCTGTTTGATACCGTAACTCACATTCCCTTAGCCGCAGCCTGCAAACTTCCCGAGACCTTGATAATAGGACTGATGGTTCAGAAATTGACAATGGAAGGTACTAAAGCAGCCAAGGCTACAGTTATTTGCTTCCCTTTCTGGAATAGTCCAAAACAGGAATTAAGAAAAGGGGGGGGGGGGTTGGTGGAGGGGAGAAAGCCTAGACCCTTTTCTCTAACTATATAATGGAAATAATTGATTTTGGAAATATGTGTTTCAGCTGGTGGCAGGGTAGAAGCTATGACTTAGTTGGGTCTCATGTTAAAAGACTTCTTTTAAGCTTAAAGTCTAATATTTGATACTTACTGAGTTTAAAGAATTCTTGCTTAAAGAGCACTGTATGGACATAAAAACAATTGTAGCCTTTTCATTATTAATTTCCACTCATGCTTTTGATTCTGTTGTAACCTTTTTGATATTCATTTCCAGAATGGTTCTAGGAAATAATTATCTATGAGTTATAGTTTTATCCTATTATTTCCGTATAATATTCTGGTAGAGAGTTTACTCTGAAGCAGCTTTCTCTTCTTAGACCTCATTCTCTCAGCATCTGTGTATATCAGTGTGACCAAAGAGTCATGTTATAAAATGGTCTCTCCTATGAAGTGGCCCCATGTTCCAAGGGCAGCATTACAGCAAGTTCTGATCTATTTTTGGACTTAGTTGTGCTTTCATCTTTAGATCTGTAAGCTTGGAGACATAGTAAAGGATAGTATTGAATTGAGCTGCCAATCTTGATTGGAGTCTTTTGCTTTTGGGGAGGGTTACCTGGAGGTATTGACAGATAAAAATTACAGAGCGTTTACCGTGTACCAAGCACGGTGTAAGAGCTTTACTTATATTAGCTCATTTGATCCTCACAAAAGCCTAAGGAGGGAGCTTTGATTATCATCTCCATTCTACCAAAATGGAGGCCCAGAGGGGGAGTGATCTGCCCAAGATCACATAGCAAATAAGTGGTGGAGCAAAGATTCAAACTCAGACAGTGGGACGCCAGAGGCCATGCTGTTAGTCATTACTCTGAAATACCTGTTGCGTCCCAATCAGAAGAGGAATCATTGTCACAGAGCGAGTTATGCATGATTGTAAATAGCACCCACCTGCGTGCAGTTGAGAGGCCTGTGGCTGAGTCTTTGATAATATAACGGAGGCATTTCTCTAGTCTAGACCAAAGCCCTTGTTTTCAGTGACTCTGTTATCTCAAGGTCTTGTGTGGAGAGAATTAAGAAATAGATAGGTTTCTTTCTGCCTATTTAGGATGTTTCTGCAGCACAGACTAATGCCATTTGGATTTGGCAGGGCAGTGCACTTACCAGTCTTCATGATTTGTGATGATCTTGGGAAAACTGTTTTTTTTTTTTCTTTTTTCCTCTTCAGAAAGTGCAGAAGGTTTTCCAAGTTATGACACAGCTTCTGAACAGCTCCACGAGGCAGGCTATGATGCTTATATCACAGGACTATGTTTCATCTCCATGGCAAACTACCTAGGTACTCACGATACATGTTTCTGTTAGACACACCGTGGTCCAGAGTGGATCTTCCCTGTGTGCCCTTTCCCTGGGATCCACTCACCCCGTGAGAAGTGGAAGGGTTTTGAGGTTGGAGTGGGAGGAGGGGGAGGATGTTAGGGCGGGGGATGGAGAGTACACGGGGAGAACCATCACCGCTTACCTGTGGTGTACTTGGCCTGGATAAGTACCTTTTACCCTTGCTGAACCATACCATTGATTTAAAGATATTTTTCAGTCTTTGTCTACTTGATTGTATATAATATTCTGCTTATTTTCATTAGGTTCTTTTCTTAGTCCTCCAAAGATTCATGTGTCTGCCAGATCAAAACTCATCGAACCTTTTTTTAACAAGTAAGTAATCAGGGTCCCAGTCCCCCAGCATTCTCTCACTGTGGAAGAGCCCAGTATCTGGGATGTCTATTAGGGGTGATTGGGAGGTCTAGGGCATTTTTAGATAAGATATTTTTCATCTCTGGTAACTCAGATGTTTTTTGAAAAATAGAAATTGACCTTTTCAAAAATAATTTATTAAATATATTGGCTAAATAAAAGAAAGAAAGAAAACATTATTGAAGGTAGCACATCTCTTCCAAGACAAAGAACTGGTGGTTTTGGAATTTAAATGACTCACAAGGGAGACTGTGTGTATGTGTCTGTGTACACAGTCAGACCTAACTTACCCCTAACAAGCCTTTATGTGTGAGATTATTATTTATGCTTGCATTATTATCTGATTAAATGATGTTCTTTCTAAGATGATGTTGGTTACACAGATGGCTTTTAAGATAATCTATGGAGAAGTTTTGATTATCATTGCATCCCGAGCCCTCATCTGAATGGATCCAATGAAGTAAAAGCTTGCTCGGATACCTTCATTGTTGGAGGAAGTCAGTGTGATTCAGGGAGATGTCTAAGTTCAGAGCATTTCCAAAGAATCTCAGATAGTTACTTCAAAGTGTGGTTTGTGCTTTCTTGGCACAGTTGAGGCTAAAGTTATGGATGTGATCCTCAAGCCGGCCACAGTTTGGCTCCGTGCCAGAGCCCTAAACCTTCATCTTTACCCCAGCTCTCTTCATGGGCTTGGTTCTAGGAGATTCAGGGCAAGCCAGACAGAACAGGGCAGCCCACATCGATCACTACTACCACTGAGAGAAAGAACTGTTTCAGGGTTGGTTTGGTTACATCATTTCCTTAACATTATATGCAGCACTTTACATTTCCATCAGTGCTGCACCGAGTAAGAATGCTGTCTCCTTCAGAGTCTGTATAAATACCAGTATCACAGTGCTTGTTTGTAGGTGACATGCTGCAGAGACAGATGTTAATTCCAACCATCTGGATTCCTATAGGCTTGGAATTTGTGTAGTCTGAGTTAGTGAATTTTATCATACTGTGGCTTCTTATTTTTTTAATCGTCGTTTTTCTTTTCTGTGGAAGTTCAGAGGTAAATGTGTTTGACTTTTCAAAACATCTTTCAAAGAGGACTGGGTAACAATGTAGTGTATATTGAAAATTAAGTTGAATTTTTCTGCATGGGAAATTAGTTCTGCTAACAGTTGAGTTCTAGCTGTCTATCCAGCTCAAAATAGGTTTTTCTTAGCTCTTAATTCTAATTTTGGGGGTAGTGTTTATCTTTGTAAATCTTAGGAAAGACAGTTATGTCATTGACTATGGAATCTGCAGGTGACACTAAATATTGTTTGGATTGGGCCTTTCCTTGCATTTTTATGTTTGTGTTTTTTTGTTTTTTTTTTGCGGTACGCGGGCCTCTCACTGTTGTGGCCTCTCCCATTGCGGAGCACAGGCTCCGGACGCGCAGGCTCAGCGGCCATGGCTCATGGGCCCAGCCGCTCCGTGGCATGTGGGATCTTCCCGGACCGGGGCACGAACCCGCGTCCCCTGAATCGGCAGGCGGACTCTCAACCACTGCGCCACCAGGGAAGCCCTTTATGTTTGTTTTTAAAAAATATTTATTTATTTAATTTTTGGCTGCGTCGGATCTTCGTTGTGGCATGTGGGATCTCTCATTGTGGCGTGTGGGCTCTTCATTGCGGTGCACAGGCTCCTCTCTAGTTGTGGCATGGGCTCCAGAGCGTGTGGGCTCTGTAGCTGTGGCACGCGGGCTCTCTAGTTGTGGCTCACATGCTCAGTAGTTGCAGCACATGGGCTTAGTTGCCCCGTGGCATGTGGGATCTTAGTTCCCTGACCAGAGATTTGAACCGTGTCCCCTACATTGGAAGGCGGATTCTTAACCACTGGACCAACCAAGGAAGTCCTGTATTTTTGTGTTTTTGATGTTAAGTTAGTTGTTTAACAATAGTTTCCAACTGGGAGATGTTTACTCGTGTTTAAATATTTAAAACAACAATCCTGCTTCTCCACTAAAATCAGCTTCTAATAAAATCAAGTGATGGATACAAACTGGGTTAGATAGAGGCTGTCTCTAGTTTTATCAGTCATCTGTGTGACCAAAATGAAGAGGAGTCAAAATAGGCTTTGATTTAAAAGTTTAAATAAGACTTTATATATTTCTAGATCAATTTATTATTGCTAATTATGTGCAAGGATATTACTCAGAAGAACTGGGCAGTAAACACATAACTTCACTTTAAATTGGGACTTGTGTCTATTCAGATTATTTTTTGCTGAAACCTAGATGCATATCAAAAATAGTTGAGGATTGAGGAATCCTCCTTTGATAGTGCCCTGAAAATTCTTGGCCACTTTGATTTTTTTTGCTCTATTTTTCCCCATCTGTAAAGGAAGAATCTTCATCTTCGAAGGGAAAAAAAATTCCAGCAGGATTTGCAGTGCAAAATAAGGACTGTTTTTATTCTGTGTTGGAATAGTTTGGTCAAGTACAGCTATCCATTCTTTTTCTTTTTTTTTTAACATCTTTATCCTATATCTCCTCCCTGTTGCATCTCCCTCCCACCCTCCCTATCCCACCCCTCTAGGTGGTCACAAAGCACCGAGCTGATCTCCCTGTGCTATGCAGCTGCTTCCCACTAGCTATCTATTTTACATTTGGTAGTGTGTGTCAGTGCTACTCTTTCACTTTGTCCCAGCTTACCCTTCCCCCTCTCTGTGTCCTCAAGTCCATTCTTTACATCTGCGTCTTTATTCCTGTCCTGCCCCTAGGTTCTTCAGAACCCTTTTTTTTTTTTTTTTTTAGATTCCATATATATGTGTTAGCATACAGTATTTGTTTTTCTCTTTCTGACTTACTTCACTCTGTATGACAGACTCTAGGTCCATCCACCTCACTACAAATAACTCAGTTTCGTTTCTTTTTATGGCTGAGTAATATTCCATTGTATATATATGCCACATCTTCTTTATCCATTCATCTGTAGATGGACACTTAGATTGCTTCCATGTCCTGGCTATTGTAAATAATGCTGCAATGAACATTGTGGTACATGACTCTTTGAATTATGGTTTTCTCTGGGTATATGCCCATTAGTGGGATTGCTGGGTCATATGGTAGTTCTATTTTTAGTTTTCTAAGGAACCTCCATACTGTTCTCCATAGTCAGCCATCCATTCTTAACCCATTTAGAAAGTGGGAAAGCAGCTGCTTCTTTTGACATCTCTTTTTGTGTTAATATTGACCTCATTCTTACTTAAACGTAGGTTTCATTTATGACATTAAACCTTGATTTTGTTACTTTTCTTCAAGATTTCCCTTGTAGAAAAACATCTAGCAGTTGCTGTCAACGTTATCTCAAGTGGTTGGTTTTAGAAAAATCTGTAATTTTTTCTGAGGGTTTATTTGTTTTGGCACCAGGCTTTCCTCAATGTAAGCTTAACCAAACATGCATAGCCCTAATATAAATTTGGATGGACATGAGACAATTACACATGCAAATAATATTTTGTTCTGCTCTCACCAGATTTATTTTTAAAAAGTAGACCTTGAGGGGAGATAAACTCCACCTATTTCCACATTATTCTGAATTAGCATCTGGCTGTGTTAGATGTGTTTTCTGGGGAAGCTTTACTGAGTCAACTATTGAGAAGATCCTGAGACAGTTGGTACTTGAGCAGAATGCAGACTGAATGCAGTACAGGGTGCTTTCTGAGCCCTGTTTGTCCAAGAGAACCTCCCAGCAGGACTTCACATGGTACCATTTGTCTCTTTCGTGGCCTTGGCACCTCCCATATTTCTCCCTTCCTTTTTGGACTCAGAATGAAAGTCCTAAGCTTGCTGAGCGATGGAAATCAGGGTGAGACCACTGCTAATGACGGGCTGTGTGCACTGTGCTCTTCCTTTATGTCATGGGCTCTCTGCTCAGGAAGTGGTTTACCTTCTTTTATGACCTTGGTCAGTTTTCATCAATGCATGGAAAACCAGACTTAGAGAAGAGCCTTTGGTGAAATCTTTTTAGTCTGGAAGGAGCTAAAAATACTCTCTGCTTTTACTTTTTATTGCACCACAGAAAGCACAAAATCAGACTTTTGCCTTAACGTTTTATTAACAGCCATCTGTTTCTGCAAGACACCTTGAACTCTTTTGTAGATAACCTTTTCTGAAGGGTTTTGGGGGAAGGTTATTTTCTATTTACCTCACTTCTTAGAAGGAGGAAGGAAATGAGCATGTATCTTATTTTGGCTAATTTCTAAGTAGTGGAGTTAAAAAGGAAGAACTGTCTGCACTTTACTGTACAGGATGGCTGCCTGGTGCTTGACACAAGTGTTTTGAATTTGAACAGGAGTCCTGTAGAAATCTGGGTCTTCCTGGGATGACATGGCTATATGTTCTATCTAAGCTGTAGGTGAGGAGACAAGCCATAAGACAATTTGTTTCCTCCTCTGTAAAAACAGGGGTGGAACTATTCCCTTCCCACGGAAGTTGTAAAGATCGCATGAGATGCAAAAGGATTTTGATAGTTCCTAGAACTTAGTAGGTGGCTAGCATATATTATTTTCCTTTCTTGAAATGCAAGAGAATTTAACACACTGGGAGATTCAAAACAGTAGATGTGGTAGCAGAATGTATTTTATGTTTTTAGTTTCATGATAGAGAAGAAAATTTGTTACCATGCAGATATAAAACTGGAGCAAATGTGAAGTGTCCGCTTTTCCAGTACTCACCTTTTAGTGTTTGCTTATGAAAAATCAGATGATGATGAAGTATGTCAGATTGGTACGTAACGGGAGCAAGATTGTTGTGATATGGAGCATTTTAAAGAGTTTTGTTATTCAAATGAAAATAGCAATTTATGGAAAGTTGTATAGGTATATAAAACAGTGATAAGTATAGAGTGGGAGGAATCATTGCGGCACCTGAAATAAAGCACACCGATACTTTCTCTTTTCCTCCGTGGAAAACAATCATGTTCCAGCAG